CCGGATTTGCAAATATGTCCCTTACGAATTTCCCTCTCAGGTAGGTCTCTCGGTTAGCCCTCAGCCAAACAAATTACGAATCTGTCCTACCTATAGTACAACCTCGACAGAGAGAGGCTACAGGTGACCAGTAAAAATCAAGTCGTTGCACCCGGGTCTTACTGCACCAGTTGACTGACATGTCTGAGAGAGTGCAAAAGCGGTTCATCAGACTCTCGATTTCTTCTATATTCCGATGGGAAGCCTCGATCATCAAGGACAAGTCATCAGCAAACAAGGAGCACACTTGCATTGCATCCTCTGGGATGGAGGTCACCTGGATCCTACGGATGTCCTTGTTGGCTCTCAAGTTGGTTGCTAATGCCTCCATGACCACCACAAAGAGGTAAGGGGCCAAGGGGTCGCCCTGCCTGACCGAGCATTGCAAGGGAAATTTTGGGGCCAGATGCCCATTGATTTGTACTTTGGTAGTGGCGTTGGTATGAAGGATGCGCACCCATCGTCTGAAGTCCTCCCCAAAGTTCATTTTAGCTAGACATTTGTCCAAAAAAGGCCAGTCCACATGGTCGTACGCTTTTTCGAAATCTATGAAGATGAAGGCGGCATTGCACTTGGACTGGAGGGAGAGGCGCAGCAGTTCGTTCACTAATAGGGTATTATCGTGGATGCGACGACCCTTGAGAAAGCCAGTTTGCGAAGGATGTATTATCTGCTCTAAGGCCGAGGCCATCCGGTTGGCAAGCGCATTGGATAACATTTTATAAACAACGGTTAACAACGTAATAGGTCTGTAGTTTCATATATTCATTTTGTCCCCTTTTTTGTATAGCAATATGAGCACCCCTTGCCCCACCATTTCCCCCATCGCTCCCTCTTCCCACACCTTCCCACAAAAGCTCATGAGGTCGTGTGCCAGCCAGTCCCAACAGGATGCCAAAAATTATTTCAGGACGCCATCCACACTGGGGGTCTTTTCTTCCTCCATCTGGAATAGGGCGGTCCATACCTCATTTTTGGTTACTGGTCGTTCCAGCGCCTCTCTCAATTGGGGGGTCAGAGTCTTGGTGAGTGGGGTAAGGAAGGTGTCGATTCCTGGGTCCTTTTGTTCTATTGGCGTGCCTTTAGTGTGGGACGTGAAAAGATCCTTGTAAAAGTCCCTAGCCATCCTCATACATTGCGGGGTGGAGGTGGCTAGGGGTCGATTCGAGTCAACGAGGTCCAGGAAGACCTCGATTGATTGCCTTCTTGTTTTGGTCTTGGCCATGGCAAAAAAACGAAATCCATGGCCCCTTCCATGTTGTGCTTGGATACCTTGCCTCTGATCCTTATGCCTTGCTATTTGTAGGTTGCAAATTCTAAGAGCTTGCTATTAAGGTTTTGTAATTCCAGGGCAGGGGGCTGCTACGTCTTGAATTCGGTATTGAATTTCCATTTCTTCCTGAATCTTTGGTTAGCCTTTTTTTTTGCATACTCTTTGCATTTACGGCCCATAAAATAAAGACCATTGAACCATATGATCTCAGAATCAATTAATTGTTTCTGTTGACGCCAATATTGTCACATATCCCACATTAAGCTCAAGAAGTCTTGTTGTTGAAGCAATGTCGTGTCAAGTTTAAAAAAACTTGGCCCATGATTGGGCCGCTTTCTGAAGGTGAGTGTTATTCCACCCATCGTGTGGTCCAACCCCCTATAAGGACTGCGGGGAAGCAGATATGCAAACTGTTGGGCTCCTTCCAAGTCTTCCGACATAAGGATAAGGTCAATCCGTGACTTGGAGCAGATCTCAACGCCTGTATTCCTAAAACAGGAGAACTTATTTTCCCTCGGGAAGGCTCTTCTGAAAGTATCGAATACACGGAGGGTGGAACACAACTCTTCAATAACTGCTCCATCTGCTGCTATATACGTCGGGGAGGGGAGGGGATTCTCCACCTGTCTAGCTAGCGGTCCGGGGCCGCATTGAAATCACCTGCAATGATCACCGGTAGGCCTGCTGGGATCTGCTAGCGAATACCCTAAAAAAAAGTCCACCTCCCCCCTTTTGTGTTTGGAGCGTATACGCAGATGATGCAGAGCAGTTCTACTTCCAACATTACTAACATTGAGACCCACCTTCCTTCCTCCTTATCAACTACCCAATACACCGGTGTTGCTCGGGAGGATGGTGGAAGCCAAATCGGCACCCCGGCGCTACCTGGCCTCGGGGCATGGGCCCTGAAGGCCTCGTATGGCCATATCACGTGGTGAGCACGGTAATGGTCCGGGGTCTCAAGAAGGTGGGTCTCTTGAATCCATACCACATCCGGCCACGTTTTCCCAGCCACGCCTCTGAGTTGTTCCCATATCGCCTGTCGTTTGTCTGGTGTGGCCGTTGCGAGACCATTGTGCGCAAGTCGAGGTCAGCCTCTCGTAGGCCTTTGCTCCAAGCCAGGTCCTTTCTGTAGATCAGTCGTACTGGTCCATTAGCAAAATTGCAGGTCCCTCAATGTCACCCAATTCCCTACAGTCTTTGCCATGTCACCAAGCCAAGGTCTGTAGGGGATGTGAGTAGCGAGCTCTTAAGACTTCGACACAGACAGGCTTGGACTTCCTCCTCAATCCACACATTGTTGGATTTCACTTTTAGGAGTTGCATGTCGAGGAGAACGGTGTACTAGAACCATCTGAGGCCTACCTCTCGCAAGGGATCGATTCCCACTGGGCCCTTGTTGCATTAGTACACAACAGCTTCCCATGCACTCCCGGTATGATCGATTTTTGGATGTGGATGCTGATTTCCTTCGTTAGCAAGGTATCTTTCATGTGAGCCGGCAGGCTGGCAATAAGGGGGTCCAAGCCCGTCAGAGTTACCCCCCATACTTTTCCTGGGCCGGAGGTACTTTTAAGCCCAATTCCCATCTTCCTTTCTTCTTCCGCACTGGTAACATCAGAACCTCGTTAAGAGCAGGGTATTCTTGGTACCTCCCCTGTTCTAGCGCATGTCTCAATTTACCGCACTTATCTCTCAATTGTTGGGGCGGGGGTCCTCCCACCGGGCCCTACTCTCTGTCCTCGCCGTTGGTATGGGAGCCATCTACGGACTCATCTAGATTTTCTTCTTCCAGCGTTGTGTTTCTAATGAGAGGTGGTTTGTCAGAGCCCTGTTTCCCTCATTGTCGCCCTGGGTGTTAATGGAGGGTTCATGAGATTTTGTGTCCTCGGACAGTAGAACGTGTTGTGCACCCCGACCCGTGTCAGCTTGAGGAGTGTCACGTTGTTGTGACAGTGGTACCATGTCCTGGAGGTGATGTTGATTATCTGTGGGCAGGGGTGGTGGACGGAATCGCTTATTTACCACATAAAACACCTTTTGCAGACTATCGGGCCACTGGTGACCCTGTGGTGGACCGTTCTCTAGTGTTGTGCGCAGAGCGTCACTCCCTTCTAACGTCCGCACCAGCTCATGGTACGTGTGGTCCCATAAATCTGTAGGGAGGCCGGTATGCTGAAGTTGCAGCCTCTGCATCAACAAGTTCGCCAAAGATTCGAGTCTGATGTGCAAGGGGGCCGACGCTGATGTCTGGGACGGTGTTGCGTCCGTCATTACCACATCCGGGGGGGGAACCCTGTGGTGGACCGTTCTCTAGTGTTGTGCGCAGAGCGTCACTCCCTTCTAAYGTCCGCACCAGCTCATGGTACGTGTGGTCCCATAAATCTGTAGGGAGGCCGGTATGCTGAAGTTGCAGCCTCTGCATCAACAAGTTCGCCAAAGATTCGAGTCTGATGTGCAAGGGGGCCGACGCTGATGTCTGGGACGGTGTTGCGTCCGTCATTACCACATCCGGGGGGGGAGGGGGGGTCCTTGTCGGTTCCTATTTCGTCTTTTTCCACCTCCATGGGGCACGGGCTGAAGGCGTCCACGAATGGGCCTATGCTTTGTGATGTAGATGGTTCTGTGCTCTGCGATGTAGATGGTTCTACCGACGGTTCCTCCTGAGCCCGTGTGCCGTCCTCCTGCTAATTTAGCGGAGGCGGTTGTGCTTTTTCTTCCTTGTCCTCGGTTTCCTTGTCAGCCCCTTCCTTTCCCCTCCGGGCCCCTTCCAATGGGGGTCCCTTATTCTAAAGAGGTTTGGAGGGCCTACCCCTCCAAGGTTTAAAAACCCCACTGTGATTGCCTTTGTCCAACTAAGAACATTGCAACCCCGAAGTGGTACATAACACGAAGGTTGTGACTTTTCGATAGTTAGAATATTGTCTTTAGTTGCCTTTCCCCATAGGAGGAAGCACCGACTACATCTGTTATGTAGCCTCGACACACTAGTGTTTTTCGTATTGGCTAAGCTAGATACTACAAATCGCCTTAGCCGCTGCGCACGGTGCCAATGTGCAGACTCATCACACAAATGCGACTAGTGTAGTCTTAGGTCGAAAAATATTTGAGAGTCTCGCGGCCACGTACATTGTTGTCTACCAGATCCTTGGAACCTTTCACTTGGTCACCGAGGCAGCTAGCAGGTCTCACCATCTAGCTCCTCTAAGGACTCAGACACACCCCATGAACAGAGCTTCATGTGGTCCAGATGTGTCTGCGGGGTGACTAAGGAGTCAGTAACCTTGGTCGTCTTTTGAGATGGTAAGGGATTCCACCACCTCAACAAGAGCAGAAGCGGCTACTACTTCTACAGGCCGGATGTGCTTCCCAAGGAAGTGCTCGCAGTGCTTCCGTAGGTTGAAGGTGCCTTACCCCTCTTTGGGCTGCATCCCTCTGGTGACCAACTGGACTGGACCCCTCACCTTGGTTTGTACATTCATGCCATACACTTTGCTGGTGCCCCTTACAAGCCGGTCTATCTGCACATCCAAGACCCTTTCTCATCCTCATACACAGAGTAGGACCTTTCCCTTGACTCCTAGACTGGTTGCCCTTTCGCATACCAGCCGCCTCGGCCTAACTACAAACGGCCAACACTCCTCCCTCTGGATCATCTAATGTGAGTAGCGAAGCAAACAGGGTTATCGCACAACGACCTCGGCAACACTAGTTCCCCTCAATGTTGGTGAACTTAGTAGCAAGCCGTACCTTACAGCATTCTTGTCTCATCTCTCCCCCTAACAACAGAAACTGATCAAGACACCCGGCCCTAGCCCAACAATCAAGATCACGGTTGTGTCCATCGCCCTGTGCCTACCCATCCAACTACCTTGCTGCAGCAACATTTTCTTCCTTCTCTAGACTCATGTCTCTAGCTGTGGACCAACCACTTGTGCCTGCTGCACCGGTAACTGAATCCGGTGGAACAGGTTGCCCAACCTGCTGCACAAGCCGCTGGCCCAGCTGCCGCACTGTAGTTGCAGCAATGGATATGGGGACAGATGAAGCAAATCCTGGAGTCTGCCACTACTACCGACTGATTAACCGCCTGCTGGGAATATGTCGTACTAAGGTACAAAGAGACCTCTCATAGGCAACAATGACACGAACGCACCAACCACTGCTGGGGGGACTACAACGGGTTGCGCAGGCCCTACTGTAGGCTTGGGGCCTCTCTGCCCAACCAGAATTTACTTCTGATCGACTATCAATGTGGCCAGCACCTCCTAATACACGGCCTGTACTTCGGCCACACTGACTTGACCGAAGTGTCCGCTTATTAGGGGTTTCCACATCCGAAGCTTCTACCCAGTTTAGTTCCACCTCCCTCGCCTCTAGTCTAGGCTTTCTTCTTCTAGCCTTGTCTCGTCTATCCTCTACCTCCTATATCTGACGTTGTAACTCTGTGTGAAAGGCATCCGCTTCTCTATTCTCAACGTCCTCCATTGACAAGGGTTGTTGCTGGCAGTCCTGCACCCCAACAGACTAACTAGTGAAAGGCCTTGATATGCCCTGACTAACACCTATCGAAGAGGCCTGGGAAGAGACGGGGGACATTGCAGAAATGGTAGCCTTTGCTGTCTCGGCCTTAGCTCTAACGCGCGCTGCTGCTACAGCTGCTAGTGTCATCACTGCGCTGGCTGCTGCCACCTGAACCTTCTGCGAGTCCTTCCTTTCCTCAGCTGCTCTTCGCCTGGGTTTTTAACACCGAGCAAGTGGTCAGCCAACAAAGTGCCTATCCACAGGCAGTCCACCCCTCATCCTAGTCTAATGTCTCAACCTTTGTCATCTCCACCCCAGAGCTACACGTGGCATGCAATCTCAACTAGTAACCTCGCTGGGGCCTACCGCAGCGTGGCACCCAACTGCTTAATGAATAAAATTAAATATACGGTCCAGATTTATCAGGAAGCAGTCAAGCGGTAGCAACAGATAGTTTCAGACCCCTGCAAACAATTCTACTCCTACTTTTGACTAGTCTGAAACAGATGCTTGCAGCAAGAATAGACAACCACTCTATCTGCAACAGTCTGTTCGCTGTTAGCAGTCCGTCACAACTAACTAATTAAAAAAAAAAAAAAAATTGTTTGTTGAAATGCATGCTGAATGGAAATGCCACAATATTGAACAATCGAGCAATTACTGGAATCTTCCCTATCCCTATATCCCTCCTGAGTAGTCACTTTGTGTCGACGTCCTGTAGCTCTGGTTCAAACGGTGTGTCTAAAGGTGTGCAATTGGCCCACCCCTGTGCCCCAAGTCAGTACCAGACCGGCCAGCCCTGTCCATACTATTTTTATACTCGCGTACAACACGAGTCATATATCCCCGCCGGAGTCTCTTTATAGACGGTCCGGTACTCGTCTCTCCCGCATAGGGCTCGCTTGCCTGACATAACCTCTACAGCGCAGCAAGCAGACCAAAGGACAAGCGGCAAAGCATGAGTGTACTAGTCCCAGCGGGTTGGCATGGTGTCGTGACCCGAGTGCTTCGTCCAGGGACCTTCAGAGGCAACGCCCGTCTCCCACCAGCTTTCTGCCCACGAGAATTTCGACTCTCAAGGTTGAGCTCTCGTGACACCTCACAATGAGAGGACTCTCAAGACAAGACTCACTTCAGCACGGCAAAGCATGAGTGTACTAGTCCCAGCGGGTTGGCATGGTGTCGTGACCCGAGTGCTTCGTCCAGGGCCCTTCAGAGGCAACGCCCGTCTCCCACCAGCTTTCTGCCCACGAAGAATGTCGACTCTCAAGGTTGAGCTCTCGCGACACCTCACAATGAGAGGACTCTCAAGACAAGACTCACTTCCGCACGGTAAGAAGCGACGACGAGGGTAGATAAGGTAAGGAGCAACATACCTCATAATGCTGCCCCCAACCACAGATTTCTCACCAGTAACCTGTCGTGCATTTATGATGACCAGTCGATGCCTCGGCACAACCCACAATGCAATCCAGTTCCACCTCGGCTTAAATTGCCATGTCAGCAAGCTCTCATCATCCAGTGTGCACCCCTCTGTAACCACATAGCCTTCCAGAGGCGCCCAAACAACTCAGGGCCGCCTATACACCAACGCACAAGCATTATCACTGCCCCACCATTTCCCAACGAAGCACCAAACAGCTATTGCGAAGGACCCAGCGGATTGGTTCGGACCTGCTCTGATACCAAATTGCGAGGAAAATGAGCAATAGCGAGATGACAGAAATCCAGAATGCAAAATCACATTGAAAGCCAGAAAGTCCAACGCTGTCCAGAAAGCAGAAATGCGCTGATATTACACCAACGGAGAACCAAAGCACCGAATCCGAATGTCAATGAGAGCATACTCTCGCCACCACCAACATACGTATCCAGAGCCCTTCCTCCTTACTTGGCGTTCAGCGCCCAGACTACATTCACACAGCTACTACCAGCATACGAATTGACAATGCAACCTGTTGACATCAGCAGCAACAACCGAAGTACATGAAGATGTCGGCCCATGCAGACTATCACCAAGAACAGGTATGTGCCCTCACATCATCATCCTCATCTCTCTCACTCTCTCATTCTTCCTTGTCTCTCACCCACGTCTTCTTCCCCATGCACGAAGAGCACCACCACCTCCACTGGCTGTCCAAGCCAAGCGCTGGCTATGGCGCTGCCCTCAGCAGCGCCCTGCCTTCTTCCAGCGCCCGTGCGCACTGCCTGGCAACTAGCGCTAGCACACAGCGCACAGCCCTCGAGCGCACGCTCAAGCAGCGCTGCCGCATGCACTGCCTAGTGCCTGAATGAGCCCATCAGTGGCGAGCTCTTTCCTTTATGGAAAGTGCTCGCCCAATTTGCTGTCTGGCTGGGCCTCGTGTGTTTCCAGTAGCTTCCGATCGAGCCAAAGTGTGTGCACCCAGGCCCATTCAGACAGTGGCCTGGGACCGAATTGGTTAGGCATGCCCAACCACCCGGGAGTGGACGTGAGGTTCTCCCTGCTTCGCCTGTGCTGCTGGAAGAGCCTAGAAGGCTCATGAATTATTTGAATTTATTTCTGATTCTCACGAGTATGGAGGAGGTAACCAACTGGCGCGCACCAAACTTTGCCAAAATTGACGAACTCAGGCCGTATCAAAACTCAGGGGCCCGCATTCACTTAGGGCGGGCTCATGCTTGCCCTACAGGGGCATGCCGAGGAGCGAACTCGTAACAAGACCTCGTCGAAGATCCATCCCACATGGGGGTTCCAATGGGCTCTGCTTGGGCTCCTCGTGTGTTTCCAGTAGCTTCCGATCGAGCCAAAGTGTGTGCACCCAGGCCCATTCAGACAGTGGCCTGGGACCGAATTGGTTAGGCATGCCCAACCACCCGGGAGTGGACGTGAGGTTCTCCCTGCTTCGCCTGTGCTGCTGGAAGAGCCTAGAAGGCTCATGAATTATTTGAATTTATTTCTGATTCTCACGAGTATGGAGGAGGTAACCAACTGGCGCGCACCAAACTTTGCCAAAATTGACGAACTCAGGCCGTATCAAAACTCAGGGGCCCGCATTCACTTAGGGCGGGCTCATGCTTGCCCTACAGGGGCATGCCGAGGAGCKAACTCGTAACAAGACCTCGTCGAAGATCCATCCCACATGGGGGTTCCAATGGGCTCTGCTTGGCCCCCTCAGCCTGGTTTCATAGCCCTGTACACAGGCATTGGCACATATTTGCAGGCCCACCTTCACTTAGGGCGGGCACGACACCTTTCAGACACTGCTGAGGGTCTAAATCCTCGCAATGTTCTGTTGGTGTCTTCAATATTCAAGTTTTCAGCTAGACTAGATGACCTGTTGAGGTTTCTCTCACTGTAAAGATAAACAAAAAAAGACCAGAATGATATTTAAAGAAATGAAAATATACTCAAATTCACAAAATAAAAACAGGGCAAAGAATCTCTCTCTCTCTCTCTCTCTCTCTCTCTCTCTCTCTCTCTCTCTCTCTCTCTCTCTCTCGGCCCCCCTTCCTCTATCCTTCCCACAGCTCTTCACAGGTCCAACACTGGACCTGTTGCAACTTCCCCCCGAGGGCTTCTTTTCTTTGTTTTTTTGAAAAGCATGGAGAAGTTGTTGTTGGCAGTGTTAACATGCATACAGGTCATTTCTTCCCTTCAATGCTTTTTCTGTATTTTCTCTCACAATTGAGTACTTTACTGCAAACCCTCTCCATTTCAGAGAACAAACGGGAAAGCACGAGTAATTGGTCTGTGTCTCTGTCTCCGTCCTTCTGTCCCTCCCTCTGTCCATCCCTCCATGCATCAGTGCATTCGTCTGTCCGTCCCCCCATCTGTCCCTCTGTCCGTCCTTCAGTCAGTCGGTCAGTCACTCGGTCGCTCGGTCGCTCTCGGCCGGTCTGTCTGTCTGTGTCTGTGTGTCTGTCTGTCTGTCTCTGTCTCTCCCTCTATCTGTGTGGACGGTGTGCCATCAAAATTTATCTGAGAGAAAGAGCGCACTGCATGCTGTCAAAATTCCTTGCCAGCCAGACGGGCAAGAGCTGCGAAGAGACGGCAACATGATATTCAAGGACTGGACCAACGTTGACTCAACTGTCCCACTGCAGCCCGCCTCTAAGTTCCCAGACCTTTTCCCGCCCGACAGCCTGCTAGGGGGCTGCTCGTACGAAGCCCTCTAACACACTCTGGGTGGTTTGAAAAAAAAAAAAAGAAGAAGAACCCTTGCCAGATTTGTGACCCCTGACGATGCCGACCCCTGACGATGCCACACTGGCGACCGGTAGAAACCAGTTGGGTTGTTTCGCCAGACTATGTTGTGCTTTTCACGTTAATCATACCCGCAACCTGCGCTCGTAGTGTTTTCGTTCATGTCGTGTGATCTTCATGGTCTCATGGTGTGTTGTCGTTGTGTGCTTTAGCACTTCTGCTATCCTCTACAGTAGCACCCATGAACAACCCATATTTGCAACAGATGCTTGGAGAGCCAGTAGCATCCATGAACAGCCCAGATTTGCAGCTGATAACTGAAGATTATTAACCAGCACTGTGAGTGCATATGCTCCAGATGCGTGGCTGATCACAAAAATTTTAAGACCGGGGTCTGACCGACCATGAATCTGGGGCGTGCGTGCAAGCAGATGGCCTAGATGCGTGGCTGGTCTAAAATTTTCAGGATTGGCCCTGTATGTGGGCCCTTGCCTGACTCGTGGCCGCGATCATCGCATTATTACAGTTAACGATTTTGGTATTGGTGGGGAATCTGGGGATATTATTTTGTGTGGATAACAACATCAGAAGGGAGGCAACTGGAGTGTAAACAGCTGCAAAAAATGACAATAGAAGAAAAGAGGAGGGAGGGAGGAGGTGGGCAGGTAAGAGATCATACCTGCCGTCTTGCCTTGTCAGGCTTGTCATCTACAGGTACCCAGGGAGTTGCATTGTAGTCTATCAGCCCCATATTCTCTGCTAGCCAAACATCGAACTTCTCTTCCTCAAACATACGAGTGAAGGCCTCTGCCTGCATATCAAAAGAGCAGAATGGCAGCCGTTTTTTTTTTTTTTTTGTGTGTGTGTGTGTGTGGACAAATCATCAGATATTGAGAAGATGAACAATAATCAAAAAGAAAAAGGAAACAAAAAGCTTCAATGTCAGCATTGTCTGT